ATTATATTTCATATGAGAGTAGTTGTTTCTCAATTTCAAGTCCTCAAAAGTATATATATGATGGGGCTTTTGTAAGTAATTTGCTAACACTAGGAAGTAGACTTCCCCCACATTTAAGGTATTTAAAGAAAAATCTCTAAAGCTTTCTACCTTAAAATTGTATACTATTATGTTTAGGTAGCAAATTCTTTTATTCTTTCTTGTTAAGTAAATACCATTATATCTTAATGATATTTAAGCAACCCCACAATTCTCTCATAATTGTGATGTTAAAGCACTTCTTTGGACCTTAGCCTCCTCTATTATTAATTCAATCGTCATTTTATTACAACGAAAGTAACTCATCCATAATGAGTTCAAGCTCTATGATTTGAATATGGTATTGTGTATTGTTATCACAAACGTGTTCTTACCATGAACAACCATGATATAACAAACTCATTGGTTGTCCTTGCTTACCAAATAAGCAACATCGCGTCTTCTGCAAATGTACACGACTCGGATATCTACTAAGACATTGGAGAAAACTCTTCTCTTAATTCTATTAGATAGGTGGGATGCTTGAGTTTATATAGAACTCAAGCCACCCTTTTTGAAACAATATAAATGTTGCCTAAAGTTCCAACGAACAGATGCAACTCATGAATTTGAATTCGTTATTTTTCATTCATACAAAATTAAATATTATAATATATAATTCCAACACTCTGTTGTTGCTGCACTTAGAATTTGTGAGGTTATGAGTTCAAATTTTATGGATGACAGTTGTAATGAAAGTAAATCAGGCCGCAAACCAGGCCAAACAGAAGGCCTTTATATTAAGAGCGCAATTACCGGCACTGTTTAAAAACTCTGTGCAAAAACCGTAAGAGCTTGAAAATTCCTCACTCCAAGACCCTCCCTCCCTTTAAAGGGGCACAACATTTCTTCCAAGAAACAGAGAAATAGGCTTGAGAAGTTGGTTAGTTTCACTTTCACCTATATGCCTAGTTATCTTGCCGGTAGAGATATGCATCCAAACAAAAAGAACCCGACAAAAATCTCTCTAACAATTCATCATGAGGAGGAACAAAATCGATTCAAGTCTATGCCTCTGCTGCTAAATGTTTAACAGATCATTGAATGTCGATGAAATATTTTGTTTTGATAGTTCACAAGTTTTCGATTCATTACTCGTTTAGAGGCCGAGGAAGATATGCAGGATGTACAAGAAGACAAGTGAGCAATATGGGCTTGAAAACTTGAATGTTAATTACATTAGAGAAAGAGAAGCTCTTCAACAACATAAAATTAATTAGATTTGATATTAAACTAGTGCCAAACAATTTCATTATTTCGCCTTCAAGTTTCGAAAATCCACGATAATGATATGGATTATGTAATCGACAAGCAAATTAACTAACGAGATTAAGAAGCCGGCACAGTTGAGTGTCATTTGACGAGTTTCTTGACAATTTTTCTGGTTGTGTGCTTCTCTCCTGTGTACGGCTTCCCAACTCCACGGAAAATAACCTTAGTTCCAGATAAGTATGCCGTCGCCAGCACAGTTGCAGTCTACACAATGCATGATCAAATTCAGTGATTAGTTCACATAACACATGATCATAGCATCAGCGAAAGCAAAAGAAAAAACTTGAAAACACGATATACCTGCTTTGGACTGGCTGCATGAACAACATCTGAACCTTCGTCTCTGGCCTCCTGGACTGCTTCCTTCATGGAAATTGCAGGATCTTTCTCATACCGCTTCTCGAAATGACATGGAACAATAGTGGTTTCTTAATAATCGGAAGTTAATTATCAGGCTGAGACATTAAGTAATAATCTACCGATCTAGTTTACGAGTAAGGTGACTCGAACATAGGTGTAAGGGGAGGGACACTGCCCCAACAAACTGACCTAACTCACGTCTGTGAAATATAATCTTCTTAAGTGAATGTGAATCATATAATTGAAACTATCTATATAGCTCAGTACCTGGAGTTTCCAGGCATCTCTACGCAGCTGCTTAACAGTCTCTGACCGGAATGTATTACGGTCAGCCACCATAATAATGCTGTTCTTCCGTTCCTTCTGAAGCCGCCAAGCAGCCTGCAGCAAATTGATCACAATATATGATTAAACAGAACCATTTAATAAATTAGAGGCCTGCTTGACTTGAGCACAAGAAATAAATCAATCAGCTTAATTACCTTAACCGAACTGATTGCTTTCCAATCTCCCCTGGTGTCAATGTAAGCTAAAACACAGCGTTTCCTTGGCACATTCTTCTGCAGATTCAGTATAGGAGAAGAGTCCACGGTAGGAGTTAAAATACGAACAAGTTCTTCTTCCATTGCCGCCTGCACAGAAGAAGATATTGTTGTGAACCACAGCAACTTTTTACCCTCAAGACTAGCAGCCACTGATTCACAAAGCTCCTCAGCTACGGCCTCAGCCTACGAGAAGGCACAAACAGATTACAAATAAATTAATTAAGAAACTTGATGATCAAGGTGGCAGCATAAGATTAGGTATTAATTAAATTAAGAAACAAAATATATACCACATTCTTGGCCATGATCAGCTTCTCTTTGAATGGCATTCTTTAAGAAATTTACCAGCATAATTAGTAATTAATCAACTTAGAGTAAGAATACAGATAAAGAAAATAAAGCATCAGGATACATAGAATGACTTACCTCCGGAACATACACGAAAACCACCCGTTATTTTTGTATCCTTCCGGTCCAGCCTTTTGCACGGGTTTTGACTCAAAGTAGCCCTCTTTAGGGGACGTGTATTCGATTGGAATTTTAAAGGACTGATCAAACTCCTTATTAAGGCGAGGGTATTCAATAGGATATTTGACGGACTCAAACTCCTCGTCGAGGGAAGGGTACTGAATTGGTATTTTAACGTAGTTAATAAGTTGTTTAAAAGGTTCGTCAAAATCAATGTAGACGTCCCTCCTCGTCGGATCATAAATCTCCAAGAACTTATGCTTTGCCATCGAAAGCAGTTCATCCACATACCAGACGTCATGGAAGGTTTTCTGATCATAAACAGAGAGAAACACGAGGCGAAGCTCATCATGGAAGGTCCATTTGAGTGTGTAAGCAGCTCCCGGGCGATTATAATCCAAAGATGACGTCGCTGCTGCTGCGCCAGACAGTTCCTCCATAAGACAGGATTCGATGAAGTTTCCAACTACTTAGGATCCATGGCCGTTAAGAGCACTTTGAAGCTCTTTATATGTCCACAGGATTAGTCCTCCCCTGGTAAATATGAACAATTGTTCCAACATCTTCAAGTGATAACTTGAATGCCACTCTGCAGTCAAATGCATAACACATTAATTAACTCAGCAGCCGTAGAATTGAAAGATAATAACTTTTTTTGGTCGAAAAAACAGTAATTATAACTAGAAATTAAGTTACACTACACAACAACAAGAAACAAAAAGTTTACCAAATGTTATGAATTAAGAAGATCGGCAGGCTAAGCGATTAAAAACAAAACTAACTTTGAAGTAGCGTAGGTGCTTCGAAATGCAGGCTCGTTGCTTAAAACAAGATTGGGTTTTGTATGATGAACTCAGAAGAAATGCATCTATCTCACTCTATTTATGCTGATCGTTCTTACTTGGTTGTCAAGCAAACCCAAAGTCATGATCTTCTTAGGAGAAGCTGTGTTTAGGTTAACCTAGTATCCTCCCAACCGAACGATTATCTTGATAAGTATCATAATGATTTAATTTTCGATCTCGATTCTTACTAAATAGCTGCAAATGCTTATGATCTAGTGAAATATATGTAACCCCTTGTTTGTTTATTAGATCAGACCGAGATTTCGTCATGATCTTGTGAAATATTTGCCTTTGGTATTGTTTGTTTGTACTGTAGGCCTTGGATGTATGTAATCTATTTTTATGTATATATAATATATGTATGCGCGCATGCATTCACCCATGCGGAACTACCATTTATGATCATTAAAAGGAATCTCACAAGTTCATTTTGTATATCGAAGGTCATCGTTATCTAGAAAAAATCATACATCAATTAGTTTATTTTGTATATCGAAGATGATTGATATCTAGTAAAAATCATAGTTTATTTTATATATCAACTTCCAACGTAATCTTTTTGTATTCTAGACGATGATCTCCCTACACTTATGTAAGCCGGTAAAATCTTTAGTGCAACCGGCTGCATATCTTATTGTATTTATCGTTTTTCTTACTTGATAAGACACGTAATAAAAAAAAAGATACGCATAGCAGAGGCAATCCTGGCATAGGGCAAGCCGGGCTAGCCGAGCGACCGCACGGGCCCCAAGGACCCGAGGGCACCAAAATCATTTTGTTGGTCTCTGGATTTTTTGTAATGTTAAAAATAATTCAAACTCAAATAAATTAGCAAAATAATACAAGCAGCAGTGTAATGTTGGTTTTCGTTGCTTTGTTCATTTCACCAATGGTTTTAATACTTAACAAAAAAAGAACTTGAGTTTCATATGTAGGCATTGGTAATAGTGTAATTGCACACATATTCATTTCATTTAAATACCACGCAGGTTCAAATCTCCCCAGCAACAAATTAAGATTAAATATGTTGTATCGAAGAAAAAAATAGTAGTTTTCTGTGTACTAATTTTCACAATTTCATAGTCTTATTGCAATATATATATGTTTTTTTTTTGGATAAAGGATATTAAGAACCTTAAAAATTATTACTGTAATTTGGCATTCATATATTGTTTATATACAAAAACAAAAAAGAAACTCAAAACATTTTTCTAAATAGGATCGATATTTCCAATTGGTAAAAGGTTAGTAAATTAGAAGGAAAATAAAAAACACCCTACAACCATAAGTTTAGTACAAAAATACTTATGTGACATTAATAATAGAGCATCTTTGTTAACGTCGTCCAGTGCCTCAAAAATCTCAATACCGGCTCTAACACATTGCATCTAAAGGCGGAGCCATCTACAAGTATCATTTCCTCAAACCACACTTATTAGAAGGTTAACATTTACTAAACTCTTTATCCAAATCATAGTTTACAATGATACAGACTACCGTTATTGTGCTAGCGTACATGAAACAGTTTCAATTGCATCTACACCACGTCGCCATCTTAGATGATAATGGAAAGATCATTCTGTTGAGCAGGTCGATCTCAAAAAATGTAAACGCAGGCAATGGAAGTGAGAATTGTTGTCAGCAGTATCGAAACAACATTCACAGCATTGTTGTCAAGAAAGTTAAGACCTGAAATTTGCTTAACTGTTGGCCCCGGCTTTCCAACAACCTGGAGAAACAACAGAAGTTGGAATGAAATTAGTTAAGCAGATTCAATTGTTGCCTTAAAGATGATAACATCAGATTCGCATATGCCTTTAGCGCACCTTGTTACGAACAGTGCAGAATCCACTGAATTGCAGCGTTGCTCCCAAAAGAGAATCGATGGCACTACCACCTAGTCCGGCAAGAGTAGAAATAGGTATCACCAACAGCTGCTTCAGTGCTACATCATATGCGCATTTTGTAGTGAGAAATCCAATAACCACAAATGTCAGTCCGATAACAGAGCCTGCAGCTGCAGCTGCCAGTAGTCCTGCTATTGTAACTCCGCCATTGGTACCCTTCCTAACAGGCTGCCAACACAATGTAGAGACCCAAATTAGTATCCGTATCTACATATTCAAGCAGCCAGATAATTTTGATTTCTTCTGAGCTAGACAAATACACTCCCCATAACACCATAAATGTTAATCAAGACAGAAAAAATACTTTATATCCTTAGTCTATAAGGCGATCAGTAATTCTTTACAACAGTTCAAAGAATGAAAAGACGCACAAATAACACTCATAAGCAACAGCATGAACGTAACTAGGCTTTTACAAGAAAGATGGGAGACGGCACGGAACTGCGAAAATGTAATGATACATACTTTTATGTGTGTTCATATGACAATTGAACTAGTTATCGAGCTTAAGGACACAGATTATAGACCAAACTTTGATGATTAGCCACAAATAAGAAATTTACCTATACCGGCATGCCAGGTAACCCAACTTAATCACGCATCGAAATGCATTTGAACTTCCCCACATGGCAATGCGTCATTAGATTGGGATACCGCCACAATGGCATCCCTTTGTAAGGAAGTTCTTTCTCCAGCTCAAGATACATACAGAAGTGCACGCATTTGCAATTTTGCAGCAAGAACAAGATTCGAAAAATTGAAACTTTGGCAAAATCTAAGCTTAACTCAAGTGAGAAAATACTAAATCGAGCTGGTCATACGGAACCTTAAGAGTCGTGATCAACAGAGGCTGAGCATCGCTGAGAACTCCGAGCTCAGAAGACCAGGTGTCGCCATTGCTGCAAGCATAGTGACCAATAACCCCACCAACGAGCGCCGTAACGAGAACTGAGTCGTTCGAGTCCAAGCACTTCTCCTGCAATCCCGATTTTGCCCACAGAATCAGAACCAAGATCGACGCGATCCCACTGTTGGATAACACCTGCACCCAATTTCTCTGGCCACCCTCTTTGAAATCGGCGTCGACGCGCCGCTTCTTGTCTTCCCCGACTTGGTCAGCTTCGACGATGTGAAGAAGAACATCAGCAGCAAAGCTCCGTACCTTCGATGAGCAAACTTTGTGAGCCTGTCTGGATGCCGAGAAAATGAAAGAAAGTGGAAAGAAAATTCACCTGTACCCGACTGCAATATGGATGGTCATGACGGCAAAACCCGCGATTGTCCCTGAGAGGTTGAGTGATTTTCTTCGGTAGGATCTGGCGGCGATCAACGACGAGATTAGGACCGCGATTAGCGGTTGGATTAAGAGTTTATCCATGCTTATCGCTCTAAACTTTGGATTAATTTTCGGGATTTTGGTGGGAAGGAAGGTAATGGGAAGAATGTGTGTTCACTGTGCACTGCGCCCAATAATTTTTGGCTTCTCTTCTATTTTTTGGTGGCCTAGACTATTATAATCATACATCCATGTGACGGTATTTTAAGATTAATTCACAAATTATCATAAACGTAATGTCATGGTAGGGGGAAAGAGACTTACCGGGATTGTTTATGCAAGGTATGAATATTTTTCATAATTCTTATTCTTAACATTTTTTATGTTATCTTATATCCGAACAATTAGATATCACTCTCAATCACGACTTCACATGTAAGTAAACATACTATTTCCTTCTCCTAAAAAGGAAGTGTACTCCAATGAAGATTTTTTTTTTTTATTCTAAAAACGATATTACTTACAATAAGTTAGTGAAAAAGTGGGCTAAGCCTCATAATGAGCTAGCAATAATTTGTTTCTAATTCATTTTTGACGAGAATTGAACCTAAGACCACTTACTTATAAGTAAACAAAAATATTACTAGATCGTAATACTAAGTCACTCCAATAAACAAAAGTTAAATACAAAATAGTTGGATCTAAAACATCTTACTTATAAATATACTACCATCCTATAGTACTAAGTGGCTCTAATAAACAAAAATTAAATACAAAGTAACACGTTATCGATTCAAAAAGCCACCATATTTGCGTCCGGGAGTAAGTCAGTTCCTCACCTAAAAAAAGGTGGCTTTAGGTTCAAAAAGACACAGGCTTTTTGCCTTGCACCATTCATTCCATTAGTTTCTTTCATTTCCGAAATAAGTCCATTTATTTCTTTAAAGATAATGTTAAAAAGATTAAAATTTTAAACTAAATCAAATCTTGTAAACCAAATACTATAGATGTTAATTATTGAATTATTATTTAGATGTTAATTAACGTATTTATTTTATATTAGATCTACATTATTTACCAATTTAATTTAAAATTTTGATTTCTTAAACATTATTCCTTTTTTTTAACGGAGATATACCGTCAGATCATATACGACACTCACTTAAAAATGGTTTAAAGCCGGCGCACGCCAAGTGTTGCCGAGTGAGTAGAAAGTTGATTTTAACAGCCATGCGAATCCCACCCAACCTTGTCCAGTTAGGTTTTGAGAATAATATTTTTGCAACCAATCATCTTATTTTCCCCAAAACTTTACGCTTCAATTTCCGGCATTGCAGCTCTACATAATCAATTTTTCTTCGATAATCCGAACTATAAAGTTAATTGGGCAAATACGACCCTGTATTCCATAATTTAGAACCTGTATTCCATCAAATACGACTAAAACCAAGTGCAGCATGATCCTAGCTAACAAACTCTATCGGACTCGCAAAAGGAGTATCTATTACAACACAACGACACTCTTGTTCGGCAATCAATGCAAAATGCAGCTAAAGCACCAAAATTCTAAGATTGGAAGATACGGTTTCACCATCACCATATACATATCAAGAACAAATTTTACCTGACACAGTCAAAGCGTGACGAGAATAAAAGACACGACAAAGTCAACGAAATCCTCCTCTTCCTCTCCCCCTACTCCTCCCCCGTCCCCTTCCTCGTCCCCTCCCTCCTCTTCCTCTCCCTTCATAATCCCTGTCATCGTCTTTTTGGTAGCTGAACATGCTCATTTTAATATTCTCTGCATCCACGTCAGGAGGACCCTTTTGTACCTGGAGTTGCAGCATATTAACATCAAAGAATTGGAATACAACAACAATAACAATAAGAATGCTTAGAGGAGGCAGAGATACTGACATGATAATCTTCCAAATCAAATTGAGTTTGGAGCTGCCGTGCAAGTTCCTCGTCACGACTGCTACTTGTAAAGGCACCTCCTATTGAAGGCTTTGCCCCAGCTTTTATCTTTTCCCATTCATCCAAAGTGAACACCACGGGTTCTTCCTCTTGCCTTCCCTTTCCCCTAAACTGTCTACCTCTTGAATGCCTGTCATCCCGGTTTTGATGACTCATTGTTTGAAGGAGTTTTTGTGCAGCTGCTTGGTTTTGAACAGGGACAGCTTCAATTGCTGTGGAAGCCATGAACATATCAATATGAAATTACAAATAAAAATTGTTGCACATTTACAATAAATAAATAAGTTAACTAAATGTGTTTCTTGTGTGATTCAAGTATAAGGTTATTTAATTTACATGATCGTTGATACCGACAAAATTTAGCAGAAATTTGGTTTGGTTTTCCCTCGATTCGAATGATTCAAGTTTTACTCTGCCACCTTACACCTGTCCTATCTACAACTATATATGCACCACAAGAACTAATCAGTGAACAAATCCAAGTGTCAAAACATCGGTCTCCTCTCAACCTCTTCCCCACAACTAAGTGGCATAAAATCAAACTTAATATTACACAAAACCCGGGTGCAGCATAAGATAATAAGTAAAATTTAATAAAAAGTTGAAAGCTGTACATAAATGAAAATTCACCTTCTTTTGGCCTCGTTGTCGTTGCAGAGCTACTAGGTTTGTCTTGAGTTCTTTCATCAAGGAAATCTGCCTTACAAGTGTTATCTATCTCACTTTTTTTATAAGATTTATCCTCATCATTTGCTTTCAATTGAAGGTTCTGCTGCCTTCCAACTGGTCTAACCACAGTATTTCTAGCAATAGGCCCACTAATCTTGGAGCTAACATCCAAGAAATCTGCCAATGATTGCATTTTTGTCATGAATTACACATGCAATAGGAAATAATGACTGGTTGAACATTATGGTAAAAGACATACTAATAAAATATTAGGAAATCAATAGCTCAAGAATACTGACGTGAAGACTTGTCCTGCTGAGGAAACCGACTTTTAGCTGCCCCAATTTGCAATTTCTCAAATGGAGGGGGGCCTTTACCATCACTTTCCTGTGAAAGCCTTAAAGACTGAACGTGAGAACCCAGAATATTTTTTATTCATCTGCCATTCTTCGTAAAGTGATTGAACAACACCTCCTAACACAGTCACAACTTTAGGATTCAAACATACTATTCCACTACGGATAGTAGCTTTACCTTCCAAACGGACCTGCCAATTAAAAAGCAGGACAAAACAAAAGACATTCAGTTAACTCATGATGCAACCTTATCTATGCACCAGTTTTCAAGAATCACTTAAGAAAGTGGGTTAGAGAAACACCAAAAACTTGTAGTGAAATTTATATCGGGGTTCATAACATACAATAGGCAGTAGCAAACGGGGAACTCCCAATAGTATGACAGTTTCTTCAAGCGAGCACCACACATCTCATGAAAAAGTACTTATGTTCTGCCACAATGGTATCCTACAAATTAGTTGTAAAATTATGAACTGTTCCTAGGGTCTTCCATTGCAGTGTTGAGCACTTAACATAAGGGAGAGGTAATTTATGAGCTCAAGAGCAATAATTTAAGCCTTTTTTCCTAGAATTTAAAATACCCACAAAAAAATAAAAAAAAGCCGAAGATTGGCGAATCATTAGTTTTCCAATGGAATTCTCTATCGAATCCATGAGGCAGAAAGTGTTAGTCGCTAATTTCTGAATAAGTGTTAGTTCTGTAACATATTCCCCTTGGTTTTCATTATGTAGCTCAATTCGGTATGGGTTTTAATACTAATCTGAATACAAAATCCAAACAATGTTCAAAAACAAAAATTGCACCTCCAAGTTTTATATAATATAAAAAACGCAAGCTGAAAATTGAGCAAGCACGAAGCAAGAAAGAGTACCTTAGTACCCGGAACGACGTCGTCGGGGATTGCCGGGATATGAGAGTACTCCACGGCTGCTACCTCACTGTAGCCGTCTGTTAGCCCAAGTTTCAAAAGACGCCGACTATTAGAATTCCTTGCAAAATCCTCCACACCACTTCTGGTAACGTCTCTCACCCAAGCTATCTGATAATAAACAAACAAATAAACGAAAGCTCACATTTTTCTTTCTGTTTATCTATTTTCTCAGCAGCCAAACAGAACCCAGAAAATTCACGAGAGAAATTACGGAGAGGTGTCAATACCTGGAGGACTTTGGGGCCGAGCAGGTGAGAGGACTTTCGGAGTGTATGCGGGTCGGGCAAGGACCTGGAGGAGATGGATTTGAGGTCCACGTTGGTGAGCTCCGATTCCACCGAATCCACCACCGTACGCGTGTCGTCAGACAAGGCGGAGTGGATCAGGATCATCGCCTTCACTTGTTCGAGGTCGCCGAAGCACCATCCTCTGGTTCTTAGGGTTTCGATTGCAGCGTCGGAAGCGGCGCCGGAACTCCCCCCATCCATTTTTCAGCGCCTGTTTGCCGCGGCGTTTGATTTTTGGGCCTTTTCCTGAACTTTGCAACAAAAAACGGCAAATGTACGGTACAGTCCCCAATGGATCATGAAACGGCGTCGTAGAAGATATTGGTTCCTCTTTTGTGAGAATGAGGGCCAATGGCCCAAGATTAAGGGCTACAAGGTAACGGACAACGGCAGGTTGGGTGGGCCGAATGCATGAATTGGCCCATTACGGCCAAATGGCTATAGGATGATCCAATCCTCCATGACGCATCATTTATGCGGCAAGTATTCACTTACAAATGAGAAGGTTTAAGTCCAAATTTCATAAATGGTAAGTTTGATATTAATTTATTCATTTCACCTCTTTGTGTAAATGTACATTGTATAAAAAACCAATTCAAACTTCACTTAGTACTACGGTTTAGTAGTATTCCTCTTCACTTGTAAGTGAGAAATCTTAGGTTCAATTCTTGCCAAAAGCGATTTTGAACTATACTATTGCTAGCTCATTGTGAGGGTAAACCCACCCCATCTCCATTTGTGTAGATAATATTATTTGTTTGAAGTAAAACATTAAAATAAAAATAAATAAATAAACCAATCTAAACGATTTGGTTTGACATTTATAATTAAAAGGTGCAACTTTATATTAAATTGAATCAAATTAAATTTAGTTTTGTTTGGTTCGGTTTGGCCTATTTAGAAACTACTAATAAGCAAGGTTCTAAAAAACGATGGGCGCTAGTCGGGCAACGGGCTGAGGTCTAGGCGAATTTAAGTTAATTTATTGTATATCTTGTAAATAAATGTCTATTTGCACTTCAAAAAAAATATATATATATATACACACACACACTTGTATTGAGAACAAAATAATAGTAAATTGCAAAATAAAAGTAGAAGAATACAAATATTAGAATACATAAATTACAAATATCTAACAAATTTACAATTTAAAAACACATTAACTATAATCATATATTATTTTGGGCCCAAAAAAAAATTGCCTGTTATGATCATAAAAGGCTGGAGCCCAATATGCTCCCTAGCCCCACGAAAACCTTATGTACTTTTGCATTCTCCATTTCTCCTCTTTCCTTCGTCAGTCGCCACTTATGCAAAACCGGCAGAACCATAAATGGTCAGATGCATCAAGAACCCAAAGAAAGCCAAAAGAAGGGCCAAGGTTAGCTCCAAATTCCACTACCTTCTTCGTTGATTGTTTAATTATTTTAGTAAAGTTAGGGTTTTGTCTTAAATTTTTGTTTAGGGCTCAAAGAAAGGAGGTGGATCGCCTTCCTCTTCGGGACCATCAATGCCGGCAAAGGTATGGCAACCACCTAGACCACCTAGCGCCCACCTAAGCCATCACCGATTTTCTCTAACATTTCGCTCTAAATCATCTCGGAAGCCCAGAGTCTAGGCGGCCGCTTAAGCCGCTTTTTAGAACACTGCTAATAAGTAATATCAAAACTAATTTGAATTGTGTTATCACATTTGATTGATGTATTAAGACTTGAACCGAATCAAACTAAACCACACTTATCTCTACTGATGAAGTCCAATTGTTACATCAATTGCTATTGATACCTAATTGGTAATTGACATATTAATTCTCATAGGCTAAAAAAGTAATTGGATTATGGTAATGATTTTCACACTCCACATATTGCTTACATCTATTAGTTCTCCTTTTTTGTATTCAATAGAAAGAATATAACAAAATTGAGGAGTGCACGTGGATGGTAAGAGAGTACAAGAACCGCTTTTGTTCTTTTGTCAAATATAACCAATATGTGTGCAATCGTGTCATAAAGTTCCGGTTCAAATATAAACCGCATATAATGTTGACATTTGTTGGCCGTAGCTAAATCATTGATAACCCATATTTTAAGCATTACCAAAAAGAAGCTAACCTGAAGATTACCATCGATATATATATATATATAGCTGATTATGTATATAAACATGCTTACGGTTTTTTAATTATTATGGTTCATCAGTCGCTCACCAATATTGTGAGCAACTCTCACCAACCAGTACACAACGAGACAAGGAAGTCCTCCAGTCCGTTAGGAGGAGATGAAGAAAATCAAGTTAGGTTTTCTGGATGGAGTAATTAAACTACTTACAAGTCACGTCGATTTGAGTCAAAAACATGCATGTGCCATAATCTCAACCATGCATGCATCGCTATTTTTTACATTTTTAAGGTATTCTTCACGTACAATTATGGTTAGCATTTTTAAACTCCAGGTATATGATTTCTACGTACAATATCACATTGTTCTAAAAACATGTTCAATTATATATGTAAAGGGTAGTGCCATTCACATACCTTTTTTTAGTTTCCATACACTTTTGTTATTTTTTGTATATCGATCTTTTTCAATTTATTTAATTCAATGGCCAGAAAGTAAAAAGAGTGTGTGTGAAGCAAAAATTGATGTGTTGATAGCACCACCCTTATGTAAATATCTATGTAGCACCACCACTTATTTGGTAGATTAAGAGAAATTATTGGATTTTTGCAGCTGTATATGAACCAGCAGTGGTGTTGTTACATATTTCAATGCTATGAGATTTTTTAATGTACTGGAAACACAGTTTAATTCTGATACATCAAATGTCACAATACAAGTTTTTGAATACTTAAAAAAATATATTTTTAACTACTTGTGGTGTTTCGGGTCTTATTCACTGAGAAAAATTTCCAATGTTGGGCCTTGGGCATTAAGTTTTCCCATTAATATCCCAACGTCATTGCCAACTAAAGGCAAAGGAATAATAATTAATATGCAGTTGGCAGGGAAAAGTTTTCCATTTTGGAACCTTTCATTTTCCTATATGCATACGTATGCATGCTATTTTAAGTTTTTTATTTGTTTGATTTTTGTCTGAATAATTTTTTTGACTTGTCACTTGTTCTTTTTTCCGTATAAATAAAATTCTCGTCCATAACGGAGGCAGAATTTAAATCCTAGCTATCTTTTTGGCTTTTCAATCACCTAACCGTAACCCTAGCTTTCATTCTTGTACATTTATCATATATGTGTAGTGTAGGAGATGATTTCCTAGCTCGATGGTAAAAGCTACCACTTTTTCTCTGCTAGGTTAACCTCAGTCAATGAGAAAGTCTAAAAGATGGTGTTTGAAGAAATTTGAGGCTCTGCTATAAAACTAATTGGTAATATAAATAGTAGCTGAACTTATTTATAAATACATATAAGATCTTCCTTTCTATGATGTGAAATTCACTCTCAAAAGCATTTTTTGACATTGCTAACTATTCATGTACATCAAAATTGAGAGCATCACAATTTTTGTTTATATTCACGTTAAAGACATAGAAGACTAAAAGAGAAGGGTAAAATCATTGATCAATTCAATGTATAAGAAAAAAGAGACTTCTCCTAGCTCAATCGTAAAAGTGACACTCAATGGAAATATTCTATAGGATAGCATTTTTGACACTCATTGACCATTCATTTACTTCCACAATTGAGTATTCATATATTCAAGCGACATTATAAATTAATCTAAATTACATGAATGAGGGTTATAACTTGCGTTTTTATTATGCACTATTTTAATCAACTTGACTAGGTCTGCATCTTGTTGAAACTAATTTCGCACACCACCATCTAAGGAGGAGTGCTTGAACAGCGACTTGCAAGAAGGAGCAGACAAACTATGAATTCCTTAGGACATCGGTCTAGTACCGGCCAAAGGACCTCCAACGGTCAAGTCAGTAAAGGTTTATGGAACTCAAGCAGTGAGCAAGAGAGCAATATGCATGCAATGTGCACGATATCAGAATGTGAATACCTTTGACAAACCCTAGACTGAGTGTATTTATAATGATCGGGAAAGATACCTTTTAGAATAGCGAATTCTCATAAAATTGGAAGAATTCTAAATGATATATTGCAATAGATATTCTTTCCTTGTATGACTGTGATTACTTGAGGCTTAAGCCAATCCTTAGATTGTATGAATCTCCAAGACAATAGGAAGCTAGGTCATTAGACCGTATCCCGTGTCTTGCGAATCAAGCATGGTCGTTCTTGACAAGACCTGCGGACTTTGCCTACTGTTTTCGGAGCCCAACTGAGTGTGGTGGCATTGTTGGTCCGGACTTAAAAAATGCTTGTATTCTGATCTGCCTTACACTAACCCTGAAAAATTAATGGTCCACACATCTTATATGGATTTGACTTCCATGTTTAACTTTACACAATTGGTTATAAGTTACCTACTTACGGTGCACCCACCCTGGACTTGAGGTGAAAAATATGCCATTGCCAATGTAAGTTAGTATAACTTAAATTACTCATCAAGCATTAGTTAACAAAATCAAATTATTGAAGTGCATTTTGCTTTATACGTCTCAATCGGTTAGGTTAAGGCCAGTAGCTAAACTCAACTAATTAGGAACAGTTTTAAATCGACAGAACAAGATTTTAGGCAGCTTCACCTCACTCCCTCAATTATGTTGCATCCAACACACGTATTTATGTACTGCAATCTTGTTACCATAGGATACAATTAACAAAATATTTATGGTTAGGAGTTAGAACTAATCCAGCTTAATTATCTACCAGTTTCTTAATTAATTCATTTCGTATCTTAGAAGGCATTATATTAAGCGTCACAAATATTAGTTGAGCGTAATAAATTAATTTTCCTAGATTCTGGTTTGAGTAGGTCAAATATTGTTCATCGAAATTGCAAGATTTTGGTACATGCAATACGCTATTATGATGAAAATGTCACTTTCAATAGGCTCAACAACTCCCATGCCATTTGATGAAATTAAGATATTGCATTTACCCTCCACATATCTTATCATATCTAGATAAGAGTAATAATATTCATACTATGTTTTTGTATCACATTTCTTTACCATTTTAGATAGCATCTGATGTGGACAACCATATCATTTGAAAAATTTGCAAAACCCAAGAAAAGAAAGGAGAAAGACTCCTCGTATACCACAATCATCATTTAATCTAACTAGTTTTTCTAATTATTAGTTTATTAAATAATGAACTAAATTTAAAAATCTAATTAATTCAAATGATGTGGCTACCCATA